GGCTGCACTATACTTTACGTTGCTAATGACAATCAACCGATTCGCAGTTTTTGTGGTTCCCAGGCTTCTTATAGCATTCACAAGGTAGTCATTGTCATCAAAGTATTTAAAAGAATACTAATTAATACAAGAAGAATTGTGTACAAAATATAAAGTTCTAGTAAGATTAGTTCAAAATTTTTGCTATGTTTGTATTTTGCTGGTTTTCGTTGCCAAGTCAAAATTGAGATTTTTTTTGTTGATAGGAATAGACTTAGAACTCAAATAGCACTCATGAGAACATCTCCTAATCGGAAGATCACGTTACCACAAGAGGTCTACTCTATACATATATAGATTGATCAATCTAGATTTATTTCTAAATTACTCTCACACGATAAATCTATACATTTCTGTTTTTGCCAAGCTCATTACTCCAACCGCAAACCTTAAAACCCAACATTCGTGCAATAGGCGATAGTTCGAACAGAAGAATTGTTTTCGAGTAGTAAATTTCTTACGTAGATTTTAAACTGCGAGGTAGACAACGTGTTTGATCGTAATGTTTCTAATTTCAAAGTTTGAGTCGTGAATTTCAAAAGAGAATAGTTGGGCGTGCACCTCAAATTTACTTGCATGTTCTAAATGTCGTCTTTCCTCTTCTCCTCATATGCCTAGCGAACAATTTCATCTTTAGAACTCGAGCAATGATTCTGTCAATGTTGATGTGGCTATACATTATATTCATTGTAACATGGAATGTTAGCTCTGGAGCGTCGAAGAACTTCTCAAAGGAGAAGTTGAGCATGCAAGAGACTCTTCTAGGCGATAATGTTTTGACGAAGGTAGGTAACAGAATTAAAGGGTTTCAGGTTCTCAACGTTTTCAGGTTAATAATGTCTCACCTTACAGTTTTTTACCTTGTCGTCGACGGTACTTCCTGTTGTTATGCTGGTCATGTATGGAATTATATTCCTTGTTATAATGAAAAAAAGAGGTGCGCTAACGGGTAGCGCGAGCTCATCCGAAAAGGACCGGTCATTACTTTGGCAAGCACTTGCGATTTCAGTTATGCTAGAGGTTGGTCATCTACCTAATTTTAATAAGCGAGGGTACAATTCATCAAAAAATCTTGAATCACGTAGTACTGTTATTAGGCTTGTTGGATTGTCGGATAAGTTCGTACATTTCTTTTCTAAACTCAAACTAAAACTCAACCCAAGAAGACGGAAGTTCTGAAAGGTAGGTAATCCGACATGAAGGGTATCCGCTGAACTAAAAATTTTTATCTTCCAAGTCCGACTGTTTATTAATCTTGGTTATAATAATAATTTAATGTAACGAAAATTTTCAGTTCTCATCAAAGATGATCGACCTCCTGACAAAGCTATTTCCCAAATTCAGGCATATTCGCCGTGATAAGCAATAAAATCGCTTTTCTTTTTAAAGGTTTAAAGGTTTAGGTCAGCTCGCCCATTCAACCTCCCTCCTCACCGCTTGTGTTCGACTTCTCTGAAAACAGTGTTCTCTAGCGAGAAAGACGTGCGGTAATTTTGGGACCGGAAGTATTAAAGTTGAGATCTTCGCCGCTACCATTCGTCCCTGTCACCCTGAAAAGGACCCAAAACCTTTGTTTTTGACATTTTTAAGATAACTGAAGTTAGTATTCGTTTTCAGCACCTCGAAATGGCCCAGAGGAGGTGGAAAACCTTGAGTTAATCCGGGTATTGTATTCGATGGCTCTCGTTGTGCAAATTAGGTAATAGCGGTTGTGTT